AAAAATGCATTTTACGCGATGATGGACTCACCTAGGGTATGCGAAACATACACCGAATTTATACCCCGAGTCCAGGGGCAAATGCCGGTGGTCGAATTTTCGAGATTGGTTCAGTAGATTTCGAAAAAAGTGTATTTTAAGTCTACTAGTTGCATTCATTAAAGAAATAAAATAAGATATCAACTTTTGGTTTTTTAGTTGTTTATTTATCTGTTTTTATTATGAATTTTGGCTTATTTATCTATATTTGTAATATTATATTAGTGTTTTAGCTTAAAGGAAGCATATGGAAACTTAAAAGTAATGTTTATATAGGATGAGTAGGGCCAGAGCCCACTTTATTTGAATAATAAACTGTTGCTACGTATTTTTTTGGCTGAGTTGGTGATTTGCTTCACGAAAATCTCCCATCTGGCAACATTATTCTGCTGTCGAATGTATCAAGCAATCACTTGATCATCTATCTGCAATATAATTTGTCTTGTCGAGCGTGTTTCACCTGTGAGTGTTACAGAGGAGCAAAATTAAAAGAAAATCTGAAAATATAGTACAAAAAGAAAATGAAATTTTGAAAAATGTCAACAACAACAAAAAAAAAAATACAAATGAATTCAATTTGTAAGCATTTCTTTAGGAAGGTGTCACACTTTGTCAATGTGTTAGGCAAGTCGTCCCTGCAGACAATTTGAGAAAAGACAGAAAACATGGTAAACAGTATGGACAGACAAACGATAAATATTCTGCGCCCACAACCACATACTTACATCGCATTGACTGGCTTGAAAGCTGCTCAGCTTTCCTCACCAAATGCTCACTCACCGCTTCGACTGCCTATGGTGGTGGTGGTGAGGCGTTGGTGGCACGCCTAACGGCGCAAACGGCTGTCTGTTTGCCTTGGTTGACTGGAAGTCATGCTACATGTCATGTTCAATTGCAGACGACATTTACTCGTTGCTGCCTGCCTTGCTGTCTGCTCTTTGGCCGTAATCTTTCTGTTTCCCTACACACTTAGAGGTATATAAATGCAAACAGCAACCATCTATACAGCTCAATAGGTATCTAAGCTGGTGCGTAGCCTGTAAGACATGGTGTGGCAACAACATTTTGACTTATGCTGCAACTAATGGCCGCGAACGCTGACTGTCTAACTGACATGCTGTTGTATTGTTGTTTTCGTTCTTGTTATTATTGCTATTGTTGCCTGATTGTCGTTAACTGCATTCGCGGCGCTAACACGCGTAGATTTATTGTTGTTGTTATCCACATGCAATAACAACGTACGTGTAAGCGATCGCTAACGAGCCTTAGAAATATTGCTTTCGAGTGCGTCCCTTCGTGCGCGCGTGTGTGTTGATGAGCATTTGTGTGTATGCGTGTCTGTGTAGCCATGTTTTCTACACGCTTCAACGCCAGCCATTGATTGCGGAAGTGCATTTCCCTGGATTAATAGTCATCGTTTGCAAACAATTTGCCACACAGGCCCAGTGCCTGTGCTGCATGTGTGTGTGTGTGTTTGTTTGGCGTGTCGTTGATATTATCGATTGTCGTGGCCAAAGTATTGTGGTGGCAGCGAGTTCAATAAATCTTTTTTCGGTCAATCATATGTCAATAGTGTCGGTGAGGCATACTTGTATGTGTGTGTATGTGTGTGTATGTGTGCTGCTTCAGGCGTCTATTGATTTGCATATTTTCGCTGGAATTATTCCTTGTAGGCCTATTCCACGCATTTTAATAAATAATAGAGGAGAAAAATAATGAAAGCATTAAGTATACATCGAAGAAAAATAATGTCAGGTATTTTAAATGAAACTTATAGTACATAAACCCTTATATTTACATATCTGACAATAATCTAAGTCTTTTACCGACATATATTTGGTTATAATAGGTACAGTAACGGCACACAACTTATATAAATATAATGGCAAGTTATCATTCTTCTTTATCAAGGGTGCGTAGTTATATTTTGAAAAACTTCCTTAAATAGCTTAAATAAAAATAAAAAAAAAAATAATAATAATCAAATAAAATATTGAAACAATCTACTTTTATTTTTAACATTTCCCTTCAGTAAGATTTGTCATTTCATCATAGAAAGATATACGATCTAACAATGAGTCGAAATTATTAAAATTTACTACCGAAATTCGGAGTAAGTGGTTTCAATTTTTAAAGCGCTACGTCTAATTTATGGTCGGCAGATCAACAATTGTGCGTCTACTGCAAAAATTTGAATCTACGAGCACAGTACAAAATGTTCCCGTGCCAGTGAGGCAAAGAAGTGCCCGCATCAATTAAGAAACACACAAATCAGTCTCTCACACGACGTTATCAAGCGATGAGCATCGCTTTGGCGTCGTTGTGGCAAATTTTATGAAAAGATCTTGGCCTACATTGTTACAAGATCAAATTGACGCAGGAACTGAAGTCGCTTGACCACCAGAATTGTCGTATGTTCGTGAATTGGATAGTGCAACAACTTCAAAATTATCCATATTTTCATGAAAACGATTTTTCCAGTCCTCGAAACACTTTTCATGTTCACTTTTTGCGGTGGCCTTCAGTTCTTTCAGCGAATATCTTTTCGATCGAGTGAAAATGGGTTCTACGGAGAGACGATTTCAGTTTGGGTGGTGATGTTGAATTATCATCACATAAAATCTATGATATTTTTTCGACAATTACGGGCATTTTCGACTATTTTCGACGGAAGTTCGCTCGCAAACGTATCAATAAGGCCAAATATAACCCGTTATTGACCGTTTTCGCTCCGGAACAAATTTATGATGCAAAATACCACCAATATTGAAACAAAAACATTGGGCATTACCTTGATTTTTCAGAGGCTTTGGCGTGTTTGTGTTGGTTTCGGCTCGTTTTTTCTGCATTCCGATGACTGTTCACTTGTTTGCATGTCAAACTCACAAACACACGTCTCACCGGCAGCTTTAATGCTCTCCATGAATATGGGACCGGAATTCGCACGATCTAGCAGTTTCAAAAAGATCTGTATCGTAAATACTTAAAAAAAAAAAAAATCAGCTTTTTCGAGGCGAATCGAGCAAGAACGCTTTCCATACCCAAAATATCCATCTAAATCATTTGAACGGACTAGGGGGAGATATCTATCTCTTTTCCGAAGTCTCTAACACTTGCCTGACGATTTTCTTACTTAGCAAAATACATTTCTTTGAAATATCATTTACATGTGGAGTTTAATTACAATTTCCGGGTGATTTTTTATCTTAATGCATCTTCTTTACTGGCGTAGAAAGCTCTTACGCGGTTATAGCCGAGTTCTTAACGTATAAATATATTGATCATAAATTTTTTTCTTTATTTCCAGGTTTATTATCTTTACTTGTACATTGGTAGTATGATATTTTTGCTATTTATGTATGCCACGCTATTATGGGGACGACCGAAAATACCAGCGAATATAAGTAAGTACCAAAGAGAGTAAAAAAATATTGAACTAAATAAAATAATCGAAATTAAACGTAGCAAGTTCTTCAAGTTTGTAACAATTATTTACTACTTAAATTGGTCGAAATCAGTGGAAGCGCCAAATTGTGAAAAGAAGGAACGACTGGCGTTTTATTATATTATTATATTTTTTAATAACATATCTTCTAGTTAAACTAAAAAAGTTCTAAAAAAAAGTATAAAATTCTAAAACTTTTGAAAGCTTGAAAAAAACGGGTTTTTTCCAAAAAAACTTCCACTTTATTTTGTTAAAAAATATGTTCAAACAAGGCTTATTTTTTTTTTTTTAGTTTAAATAGAAGATAATTTAATGCCGAAGATAATAAATTTTGCCACAATTCGATTCGACGTTTAGTTTTGCTATCTTGCCCGCCAATTCTTCTATAACTTTGGGGACATATTCTTAGATATTTTTTAAATCGTTCCTTACTTACTTATATGTCCTTTCAATGTGAAATACGTACATGAAAAGCAACAAACAAAAAATGATAAATTAAAAGCCTTGCAAAAATAACAAAAAAATAAAAAATTAAGTAGAAAATTAAATAAAGTAAAATAATGTCGAGAGAGAGTATAGGTAATTAAAATGTTTTTCCGCCGTTTTATTGATATTCCTTATTACGCGTGTCATTACCAAACATCAACGTTAATCGCGCCGAAAGTCCGTCCACGCATAATTAACCAAACAGTTATGCACAGTCACACATACATATGAGCTCATTTAAACCACAAAAAAAAAGATAAAATAAAATGAAATAAAAATGAAAATAAATTGAAAAAAGAAAGAGAACACAACTGAAAACTGATATTTCATGATTTCTTTATCCTTTCATTTCAGCTTCGCCCAGCAAATCAACATCAAAAGCGCGTTCCTCCACCGCCTCGGAGAGCATGGACGAATCGGACACGGACAGCAATTCGATGCACAACAAACGCATACCGTCGGTGATACCCGCCCGAAGGCCCTCGCTATTGGCACCGCTCGGCCGGCAGCATCACTACGGATCCTTCTATCTGCGTATGGGCGCAGTGGGTGAGTATTTTGTGGGAATGTCCGGCTAAAATTTGTAGGTACTCGTGTGTGCACGCCGAAACGTTGGTGCGCTGGAAATGAAGCGGTCAAGTTGATGGTGGCATCGAGCAGCTGCTCTAGCCTTAACTGATACTTCAATACACATACACACTGTAGATAAATAATATAAACGAGTTTACTACTTTAAACGCAACTACTTCTCACTAGCGGTATCGTTCGCATCTTGCGTTTTAAGTTAAATAAAATTGTCCGCTCTTGCGTATTCGCTGAATTTATGAAGACGAAGATTTATTTGCTCGCTTTAAGACATGCACATTCTTATGCTTTTAATGAAAATTTATGAAGTTGGCGTTGTAAGTTAATATGCACAATTACATACATACATATATCACATTTAGTAAATGCTGCTGTAAAAGGAATATTATCCAGAACTCTCACTAAAAGCCTTTCCTTTGCACTAAAAGCATGGGGTTTGCAAAATGAGACGAAACAGAATTAAGCAGAATTTTGCAAGGGACCTTAATTTTCCAGCAGTAAAATTAAAATCGTACTATCATTTTTCTCCCACACTTTTGTTCTGTATAAATTATTCTGACAATATGAAAAATTAATAGCAAAAATACAGAGGGTCGTTCATTATATTTATGTGTCAAAAATAAAAGCATTTTTAACAAGATTTATTAGGGTGTAGTTAAAAAAAATATGAAAAATGCAAAACTGTAATAAAATTCATAAGAATTGTATATTAAAAGTTGTTATCTGAACTAAATAATCATAAAATATCATAAAGATATGAAAATAATACAGTCGTTTGATGAAATTAAAAAAAATAAATATCGAAAAATATGAAAGATGAAGAGCACTACGGTCAACTGGGTTAAATCTCAGTGACTTTGTTCTGCCTTAAATTAAAAGTAAATTAAACTTCTTCTACTTCCAAAGGCCAGTCAATGTAAAAACCAGTTTAACTATAATTGAAGACTTTCAGTTCTTGAATCAGTTAAATTTTACACATCGTCACTTATAATGCAAAACAACGTATCATACATATAAAACATTGAAATTGAGTTTTTTATTGCTTACGATTCACTACAACATATGAAATATATGAATCATAAACTTTTAAGCTTTCACTGTCCAATATATCTAATATATAACTCTTTTATAACCATCTTAGACATTTTGTTTCAATATGAGTGTTTTCTGTTATATCGTTTTTCCTTCACTTGTAAACTTACGAAAAGTGGTGTTACGTTATTTTGCATTTTAGGTGCAGGAAGATTAAAATTTTGCGGTTAACCTAAAATTTACTCACTCAAAACTAAAAACAAAGGCTCTTAAACATATTAACATATATGTAAGTTAACTATCTGTTAGTTAACTCTTCCGAGATTTTTATTTTGGATATTTGGATATGACAAAAATACACCCAGGGTGTTAAAGTTTGAATCTCCGCTACCATGAGCAATTACTTTTTCAAGACTTCAGTGAGCGTTAAAACAATATTTTTAACATTATATATAAAAAGAAAAAAGAAAATAAGTTTGAAAAACATTCCATGCGTGGGAAGCTATTAAACACAAACTAGCTATGAATTTCTTTCTGAAAATTTAAAGCCATGGTTTTACAACAATTGAACGGAGAACCGAGTTAGTGCTACGCGCGAAAACCCATTCGTCGAAATATTTTTTTCTAGATTGCTATGACTGTCAGTAATATCTGTGATCAATGTCAAATCAAAATAATCATAATTTTTTAGTATAACCTTCATCTTCATCTTTCTGAAGCACATGAAGTGCGTTCGGCGATTTTTGCGATGAGTGAAATTATTCAACAAAGAAGTTTCATTAAATTTCTGGTGCCGAAATGTTCCGAATACTGGAAAAGGCATTCGATGACAATTACTTGTCGCGAGCAAGTGTTTTTCATTGAACGCACTGATGACGAATCACGTCCAGAAGAGCCATCAGCATCAACTGATGATCAGGACGTCAATAAAATATAGGAATTGGTGCTTGACAATCGACGTTTAATGTTCAGAGATCTTACTGACTTCGTCGGAATATCAAAAGGATCAGTGCAAATCATTTTAAAATACCATTTGAGCCTAAGCACGATTGGTGCCAAAATCACGAAATTCTGTAAAATATTTGCCCGGAAACAGACGAACAATCGTCCGAAAATTTGGCAAAGGTATGCCGCAGCCGAAAGAACTACGCCAAGGCAAATCAGAAATCAAGTTTATGTTGGCAGTTTTCTTCGACTGTCGAGGTGTGGAATACTCCGTATTCCTTCCGACCAGCCAAACCGTCAACCAGAAGGAATACTATTTGGGCGTTATGTGTCGTTTGCGAGAAGCTATTCTTAAAAAGAGTCTGGAAATATGGGCCGACGACACTTGGATTTTGCACCACATCTAGGCTGTAAGGCGGCTGCGGAAGCGTTGGGACGCCGGTCTTCATTAAGTAGATGCTCATAAGAAAGGTGATGTGAGCCGGGGCGTTGTCGTGGTGCAGTTTTCAATCGGCTACGATGTCTTCTCGGACCTGATTTACCCAATTGAGTTTGAGTCTCTTGAGGACCTTCATGTACAACTTGGCGTTGACAGTTTGTGCAGGAGGAACAAATTCATGGTGAACGATGCCTTTGATGTCAAAAAAAACAATGAGCATCGTTTTCTCACACACCACTTCTTCTAAAGCGGCATCTTTGTAAGCCCGCTTAATCATCTTTAATCTTAAACGGCGCAGATTTACCGAGATTCATACAAAATTTTCGGCTTGCACCACTCATAGAAACATGTGGCACAAAAAAGGTTTGTCCTGGCTCTAGGTGCTCGGAACGCCCTCTACCGAATCCAGTCGATGCGTGAACGCTCCGAAGTACAGTCGCGGCGGAACAAAATCAGTCCTATTACTTCCCGGACTAACCCTGTATTTGATGCCGTGTCACAAAAGACGAGATTATCAAGAGGTGTCTGTCATCCAATATATTGGTAAACCCATGTATTGTATTTTAGACGATTAGGACAAGACCATGGCAAGCAAGGTTAAAATTCGATAGAATGATCGAACCTAATCAAAATTCATGTTCAAACGGTAGATAAAAGCTACGCAAAGTTCGTCCTAACTCTTGTTGGAAGAGACTACATTTCATTCTTCTTCAATGGAAAGATGATGATTTGAGAAATGTCAGGTTTAATGACATTTCACAAAATTTCTTTTCTGAAAAAGGTTTATTCACAAACCGCACTGGAAAAGCCCGCACAAAGGAAAGCAGAAGAGAATTTTAAAGAAGAAACTTACTATTTTTGTATCATAGCCATTACTTTCTGATTTTTGAGTTTTAGCGAGCTAAATAGTTATGTCAGGATAGTGAAATGCAATAATTTTAAGGTATGATTTATTTTAAACAAAAAAAAAAAAAAAACCAAAAAACGTTTTTTACCAATTTTTTTGTAAACGAATTATGGTTCTTGCTTACGTAAACGTAAATGTTTTAGAGCAAAAAATAAAAGTAGCAAAAAACCGTATGTATTTTTAAACGACTACGGAATATACTTAATCTGCCAGATTGTTAGAAATATTAAAGAGTCTCAATCCAAAGTTAAGAAAAGGAAAGTTTTTATTGCTTTGGATTTCAGCCATTTGTAAGGAGTTACCCTGCCTCTTTTCCACACACTGTGTATGTAATGTTACGCAGATTTCCCAAAGGAAACATAAAAGTGATTGAAATGGAAAATGGCCACTTATTCGTACCACAGCATTTACAACTAACATACACACATACAAATATATTTAAAAAAGGCAAAGTACTGGTACATTGGTGGGACACTCGATTTCTATCTCGTAGATCTTATCTTTATTTTTATTGAGAAACTCGGAAAATTTTGCAAAGCAGGATATAAAATGGATAGCGGATTTCAACGCATTGCTGTTTTCCTTTTCATTTATTTATTTMTTTTTTGCCTCACAAAATTTATTTATTGCACATCGCTCAATTGTGGATTAACTAGCGCCAGCAAATGCTGCTTTATCCTTTACTAGCCTAAGAATCTTTAAATTCTTCAACAAATATAATAAATATTGCAATTTACTTGAACTTTAGACGAATGGTCTCTATAGCTTTCGTTGAAAATAATATAATATTCAGTTGAAAAATAAATGGCCGGCCGTATTTGGCTGGCAATGGCTTTGATGTACAACATATTTTTCGCTTTTTCTTATTTATTGGTTTTCTTTTTCCGAGCGCAGCCACCTTGATTCGCCAAATAAATTGCAACTGCTGTTCGACTTGTCAGTTCATTAGTCTTTGCACTTGGGAAGGGTTCGGCACCAGCTGACGGCGCACTGCGTTGCCTTTAATTGCTGCGCCTAATTGACGTTGTAATTCGGTTAATGACGCCTTCTGAGGCTGTTGCCAATTCTAATTTATACCTAATTTTATTTCAACACATTATTTTCACTTATTACTATTTTTCCTTTCGTCGCTTATTTACATGTATATTTTTTGCTTTTACAGCTTTTGGCATTGGCAGCATGATCTATTCGGGCTTGGAGTTCGGTCAGTATTTCGAATTGAATCCGGACACCAAGTGTCATAATGTTCTGTTAGCATTGACGCCGGCGACGCGAATGGCATTCATCTTCATACAAATGTACTTTATATTCCTTAATAACGAGGTAAGTGGGCTTAGCGGTGGTAAAATTGTGTTAATTGTAAATATCTTTATTTTACGGACTAATTAAGCGAACAGGTTAACGTAATTTTTACACCTAATTTTACCTGGTTATTTTACGCTTGTATTATGTTAAAACCATGTAACAAATGGCTGTAGGAAGGTTCTTGTTCAAAGTTGGAAAGAAATGCATAAGATGAGACACCCAAAAACGTTTCCATAGCGAGTTAATTTATTTAAAGCAATAACACTGTACAACTTGCAGCTAGATAATAGTACAAACCATATTTTTTGGAAAGATGTGTAGCAGGGTAACAAGTAATTTCTTCGTTTTTCATAGTTAGCTCTCATAATATTACTATTTTCTTTCGAATTTCGAAATTGCGTTTACTGAAAAATGTTCAATAGGATATACTCTAGAGATCAGTTCTGCGAACTCACGTGTTCTTAGCGTTTTAATTAAAGTTAGGTTCCGGAAAATCTCAATAATCTCTTCATCTTCATTGTTATAGTTTCTACAGATGGCGTTTGATAAGATTTACATCCTTACAGCATGGTCGCAAATAGAGCAATAGCCTCTTAAAAGCTCCACACCTAAGTAGATGCTATTCCTACTGAGGGCAATGAGATCCCTAGGTCTCTTGCGACCGATCGTGGGCTAAAAGGTTTTCGCAACAGTACATGTACCGATGGTGGCCCAATATTGGCCAAACTCCAGCGAAACTAGTAGTAGAACATGAGAGGATACGTGAGCACCGACTCGCTCTCATTCTACTGATAGCAGTTCTAGAGTGCCTTTTCTTGGTACCTCAGTTGTCGCCTGGCACCCATACCGTTAGGCACCCCTTGACCAACTCTGAATGCACTGTTAATGAATACTAGCCTTGAATTCGCCGCTCTGTTGTCTGATTGGATGGTCACTTCTCTGAAGGAGGCTGCACTCCGGAGCAGTATATCTACTGCTACCTTAATGTCTTTGATAGGGAGCTTCTGAGAGTACACTTTCCCACTAACCATTCCCATGACCCATCCGTAAAGAAGCTCACTGTCCCTCTCCTCTAACGGCTTTTTTTTCGACCCACAACTTCCTCGCCGGTATATGGGCAGAGAAGAAGCCGCCAGAGTTTGGTTTGGCGACTCTATGATCCACGTGATCGGGTATGAAGTCAAAGTTTAATACATAATGCATAGAATACTTCCAGGACTTATCGATAACTTTTCAGCAACGAAACCAGATCGGAGTCCAAAATCACTTAGCAGGAATAGTGAAAATGACTACAACTTTGGGACCTTTTCAATGCGCCCTACTGTACATTCATAGAAACATGGTCGGTTATAGTATAGCTGCCGTTAACGAAGGTGAAGAATACTTGCCCCGATCAACTCCACCTATAGGAGCATTGGCTATCATATGGAGAAAAGTAGTTACTTGACTTAAGCAGCTAATGTTTGTAAAGAGAAAAGCTTAGAACTGTTTTGTTAACTGTATTGAAGATTTATAATAGTTTCCAGTATTTGTTTTTCAGAACACAATCCGTTCTTCATAATATTATATAAATAATTCATTTACTGTATAACTTCATTCACACTAAATCTCTTACTTGCAGCAAATCAAGGTCTATCGCTATAAAATCATCGCACGCTTCGGTCTTATGCATATGATCGGCACCAATTTGGCAGTTTGGCTAAATGTGCTGATACAGGAGACGAAGCACGAAATATTGACATTCTACAACCCGGAAAATCGCACGCTACGCATTTCACATCGCATACCCGGACATTCGCGTGGACACGCAAACATACCGGCGGTAATACCCACCGATCCCACAGCACATTTGCGTATACCGCGGGGACTCAAGGGTCCTTATCAAATTTTCGAATGTCGACGTACCAATATACTCGGCACACTGGTACAAGATGCCTCACCATTCCTCTTTCCCTGCACCATTGAGTATTCATTGATCTGCGCCGCCATATTGTATGTGATGTGGCGTAGCATTTCGCGACCGCCAACACCAGCGCCACAACGTCCGGACACGATCAGTTCGCCGATGAAGCGTTCACCCCATCACTATTCGGTGGATTGTGCGCGCGCGCACAAGGGTCTCTTCGTTGGCATACTCATACTCGTGCTGACCATCATTTCGCTCATTCTCTTCTTCGTGTTGATCTCGCGACCAGACTTTGTCGCCCTGGCCGTCACCGAGGTGACCATCTGTGAGCTGCTCATCTACGGCACAGCGACAATAGCAACACTCATCGGCATGATACAAATACGACATCTGCAATATGATTGGTATCGCAGCTTCTCGTTGGATGATATTTTGTTGGTCGGTGCGCAGACTGGTTCCTTTTTGTACAATATATTCACAGTGATCGCCGGACATTTCACGTTGCGCAGTGATGATATGTTAGTACCGTTGAATGCGCTCGCCTCCATTGTGCAAACGGCTTGCCAGACATTATTCATCTTGGATGCGAGCCGACGACAGGCCATCACACCGGAGCATATACGTAAGAAACCCGGCCGTGAGATTGTGACATTTATGTTGGTCGTGAATTTGGCGATGTGGGCGATCAGCACGTTGGAGAAGTCACGTGCCGAATCACATCCGATACAGTTAAATTTCTATGGTCTGTGGGCGTGGACGATAATAACGCATGTGTCCATGCCATTGGCAATATTCTATCGCTTTCACTCGACAGTTTGTTTGTGTGAAATTTGGAAGCGTGCCTATAAACTGAAACCGGCCTATATGTGAGAGTTTGCGCGCGAGCGCATTGCAAGCATTGCGCAACAGCAACAATTCTGTGAAGATCTCAAAACCAATTTGTCGTACTGTTATTGCTCAACAACGCTGGCCGGCGGCGAACTCGAGACCGTCGAAGAGGCGGAGAGTGGCGAGAGCAACGGCTACGAAGAAGATGACGAGGGTGAGGATGGTGGCAATGGTGATGGTGACGTTGGTGGCGCTGGTACCGATACGACTACAGCGGTGCTGGAAGGTGGTGGCACCGGCACCGCCGCCACAGAAGAAGAGGATTTGGACACAACCGATGGTGATGAGTTAGAGGCGGCACAACGACCGAAACAAATGAAAGCAAATGGTAGTGAAAAGAAGCAGCAGAAGCCGCAGACCAGACAACGACATGTCAAACTAGTAGACTGTAAGGATAACGGTAATGGTAAGGATAACGGTCAGGATGGTGGTGTGGGTGGTGGTGGTAAACCTTCCGCATTTTGTCCGGTTTTCGTGATAAATGGTGAATGAGTTTACGAGGATTTTGAGTTCATTGATGCGGGCAGCGATCGTGAGCTCACATTTGTTTAAGGCGGCATAGACTTTGAGGCGAGTGAGGCGATGTAAGCAGGACTAAAATTGTGGTCTGGTGTATGTCGAGCTCGATAATGGTTAGACATATATTTTATGGAAAGTTTAAGAAGATTATTATTTTATTTTGCGAGGCAGCCATATCTGGAGATTTAACACACTAGATTGGATAGTAAAGTTTATCAGAAAATTTACTTCAAAAGTGATATAGTTACTCCCCAGAAGTTATAAAAAGAGCGGTTCAAAAATTATCTGCTTTGAGAGATCAACCACAAACCACCGGTTGTAGGGGCTCAATAGTTGAAACTGAAGTAACCAACATAAAATCTCAACATTATTTTAGCTTAACACGACCGGAAGATTTCCTAGTATTTAAAGACCGTTTAAACATTATGTGGAGGAAAATTCAAACATCCTTTAGATCATGTTCGAGAAAGTAGATTCGGAAAAGAGATTAACATAAAATTTCAACTGAAACTTAGGTGGACAAGATCGAAAAGGTTTTCATAAAGAATAAAGAAGAAAAACTTGTCCACATAAAATAAGAGAAATTCAATTGTATACTCTCAAAAATTTAGAATGTATAATATATACTTCATTTGGAGGATATAAACGAATTGGCAAGATGCTTGGTTGAGATTCTCGACACAGGTCTTATGTACACATTGCTATTCAATAAATGAAGGGCCTTTTTAGCTGTAAGAAATTCTGTCTTGTTGGTCTGAAACTGAAATTAAGCCCAGATGTTTCAACCAAATATCATCTGCGTTAGAGACCGTGTAATTCTATACATATGTATGTATATCCACAAATGTAACATTACTTTAAGGACTTTTCCAGATCATTGCGGGCTTTAAAACAAATTTAGGATTTTTTGAGAGATTTTTGCAATAAAAAGTTAGCAATGAAAGTAGCGGATTAATTGATAGAGAAATTTCAACGAATACTGTAAACAAAATCAACCAGATAAACTACGTAGAGACATAGGCTATTGGTAGTTCTTTATCCACAGCAATATTAAAAGTGTTCTCTAGGAAGTTACACTTTTATAAAGAGAATGAAACTAGTACTATTTGAAGGTATTAACCAAAGAAAAAAAAAAAAGAAAAAAAATTTAAAAAAAAAGAAAGAAAAGAAAGAAAATCTCAACTGAGTTCAATATCACCAAAACACTGCGAAATCAAAGTAAAAATGTACGAAATAGTTCGAAACTAAATACTACTAGGGAATATATACCATATTACATACATATTAGAGAAAATAGCCAAAGTATAGAAAAACGAGTTTTAAATTTAATAAATTTTTAGTAAACGAGAGCGAGATAAAAAATAATAACGATATTAATTCATAATAATTCACCGATGTACGTACCCACCATAAACCACCATTTCGAACAAAACTTTCATTGGCATGCAAGAAAAACGAACCAATTAATTGAAAACGAATTTCGAAAACGGTAAAAAATTAAATGTGTAAAAGAAAATAATTTTGAAAAAAAAAATAAAAAATTGTTTTGAAAAAAAAATTGAAAGCCGAAAAGAAGAACCAGCAAAGAACCCACACATGCAACTACACTCAATTGATAACATGATAACCGATAACCTTACAAACGAGTACACACATACAACCATAGCTACATACATACAAGTATTTTTCGATGAAGAAAATTTAATTGATTTTTACAAAAAACCACAAAAACAAAATATAAAGTGATGCAATATTTTCTTTCAACTTTACCTATAACAAAGATCGAAGCAACAATATACATACATATACCTATAAATGCATAAAAAATTTACTCTTAACCTCAAGAGGACATATTTTGCTTAATAGTGAAATACCGTAAGACGTATGTAAACAGTTATATCTTGTTCTAACTGATGATAGTCATAATAATTGCTATATAACAATGTATTCTACAAACACATATACATATATATATAAGTCAGTATAATTGATAAATCAATGAGCAAGAAAATATTGTAAACATATACATACATACATATAGATTGAAAAATATATTTTGATTGAAAGCAAACATAACCTTTAAAAGTTCTAGCGAATATGATGGAAAATGATGTGTATGTAGTTGCATTCATCGATACTATTTGTATAGACTGATTGTGTGTTCACTGCAAATAACTTTAGTTCAAAAGTAGAAAAACTTAAATTTCAATACTGAAACGAGTAATGTTATATAGAACAAAAACCGAAGAGCGTAGTTCATAGCGTAGAGACCTATTTCACGAAATTAAATTACTAAAAATCGGCATCATTTGGTTGCGTGTATTATGGACACTTTTAACTGCTTTCAGGTGTATTCAAATTTTATGATAAATATTGTTGTGAATACCCGAAGTAAGAGTAAAGCCTTTAGTTAAGAACACATTTATAACAAAGAACATGTACCACTGCTTTCAACTATTTGTTCTCCCTGGAATATTACAACTCCAAACAAATAGTTATTTGCTGCTTTTGAGGGTTCTGATCCCTTCATGGAGGGATACAGTCAAAAAATTTTTCAATATTACAGCTAAGAGGTGGTCAAGAGGAGGTTTAAGAGACATTTTAATTAAAAAATTTATAAAATTTAAAGTACTTTAATAATCGGCAATTAATTTTGAAAAGATTTAGAATCTCTTGATACCTTAGCCGGTAGCCAGGAGCATCGCACAGAAAGATGTCTGGCGGTAAGAAAGATTTTTCTGGTTCAAACTATTTCAAATTGAAAAAATATGCTATAATAGCTGAGTAAAGTTAATGATCGAAGAACTTGACAAAATTTTGATTTTTGGCAAAATGGCGGCTTTCAAAAAAAATTGTTTTTCGAGGAAAAATTTCCACTCCGGAATGGCTTAAAAGGAAACTTTTATCAAAAATCGTATCACTTCCATCATTACTGACAAATATATCTATAAAAAATCATGTCAAAAATTCAAATCGGCCGGCGAAAATTTTCATAACCGATTTTGAAAACAGTGTTTCGCGTTAGTTTTCGAGCAGAGTACAGTAAGTTAAAAAAATCCTTACAAATATGCTCTCTAAGTCTCTGAAAATATTTATCAGTTTAATTTCAAATTATTCTCAAATATTATACATATGTCAAATATTCGATGTATACAAATATTATACCAATATGATAAAAACTATTTTTGAAAAATCACAAGTAGTTATAACCCCTTAAAGAAAAAAAGAGTGTGCTTTGATACAAAATTTTGAAATCCATAAAAAGGTAATTTTTAACGTTTTCTTAATCCTTTTTTCAAGTCACTCAGCGTTCCTAAATTTCTGTGCCAAGCATCAAGGAAATGTTAAAAACAACTTTTTGAATAGCAAGAAAAAGGTTTACTTCGGAGGAACTGAAGCATAATATCTTTCACAATTGCATTTCTTATAGCACAAAATATATAAAAGATATATAAAGATCTTTATCCCGATTATGATCTGTGAGTTCGTATGTTACCTACATATATGGTATAATAGGCCGACATCAGCAGTTACGACTTATAAACAGTTTTTTTGAGAAAAGCACGTGTGCAAAATTTCAAATCAATATCTCGAACTGAATGTATGCTATCTGACAAAAGAACACCCGGAAATTGTAATCAAAGATGGTCGATAGATCGTTGAAAAAATGCCTAGTTCCATTCGAGCTCCAACCTCTTCAACTGATGAAAATATTTAAAACAAATAAGGAATATGGTGCTTGAAAATAGTCAGGCAAGTATTAGAGAGATGGGAAGAGTGCTCGTCATCTTTCACAAAAAACTAAACGTTTTACGTTTTATTTACCATATCCGGGTACTTTTTTGTCACAATGTATACTTCATTGTGTCAACGACATTTCTCTCTGGGCAGCACAAACTTCGTGGCAAACACAATATTTCTTCAGGGTATAATAATTTTTGATTTTTACTGAAGTTGGGTATCGCATAAAAATGAGAAAGCACAAACACCCAGACTCTGCTATTTAGAGATGACACTAAAGACGCCAAGAAAGAATATCTACTCTCACTATTATGTTCTTATATTTGTTAGTAGATTCTGAATGCGAAGAAATTACCAACCACAGTTACCACCAAAGATTCATCATTTCTTTCCTTTGAGTAAAAAAACAATACCCAAGAGATTTTCTTAGATGAAACATGAAATTTTTGGTACTGACCGCTGGAGAAAAGATTTACTAAAACTAAAAACACAGTACCTACCTTCATTGCAAAATTTCAAAAAAAATTTTTTTTGCTATATTTTCAGTATTTTACCAAAATCCTCGTATAGATCCCAAAGTTGCMAAAAATATTATTTGAAAAAAAAACTAACTATTATGAAAAAAAAAATAATAATAATAAGCTTGGAAGTTTAAAAAAATTGAATACATAATTGACAGGAAAAGTGAAACTATAGGACATTCATCTTACTGAATATGCGAATTCGAAAATTATAAAAACAAAAATGCTATGTAAAATCAGTATTAAAGTTTAATGCACATAGTTTGCTGTAAGTGAAATGCTAAAGAGTTGCCACTTAATTATGCTAAGAAAGAAATATTATGTACATACATACATATGAATGTATAAGATTGTGTTATTTGTTTGCGAAAATTGTTTTGTTGCATTCATTTATTGTTGCAAGAATCGACGAAACATTGTTTGTTTGATTGTTCATGTAACTGATCATTTGATCATTATTTTAAGGGTTGATTCTAAAGTTCTAATTCTTAAAAGCATACTAAATAAGTGAAAATTATAATTATAAAATGTAGTTGCTATTTTTTAATAGATATAAAGTACCGTAAATCGTTTATGTATGTGTGATAAATTATACAAATTTAATTTAATTTCAATGTATTATGTATAATATATACGAGTATATAAGAAATTATGTATGTATGTATATAAGTTATAAAGGCAGTTGAGGCTAAAAAAAAAAAAATTAAAGCAACTTTTTTTTCAGTAATAATGCATTTAAAACTTTTAATAAAATATTATAATCGAAATCAATCTAAAGCATTTTTTAGCTTTAAAACTTTACAGTTTATGTTTATAGGCAGTTTGTGGGCGTGGCAGTGGTTCAATTACGCCCATCCATGAACTTTTTTGTTGTACTAAGGAACCCGGATACAAAGCTTCATCAAGATATCTCAATTTTTACTCAAGTTACTGCGGGAACATACGAACGGGTGGACTGGCGGACGAACGGACAAACCTTTGAAATAATTCTTATTTTTAAAGCTAATTAAACTTTTTCCGTTAAATGCAAAATTTTGAAAAATTTAAAATATGTTTTTATATAGTTAATTCAAAGTTTTACAAAACTGTATTTTGTTAAAAATAAAATTTTGAAATATGTAAAAAAAATATTTTTTAATTTTGTTACAACAAAAAGTTCAGTAAATTTTTACGAAATTTATGTAATTCGTTTTTTTTTTTAGCAATTAAATCTCTTTTATCAAAAACCCGTAAACTCAGGTCTCCTTTAATTT